GCAATTGCTCGATAATACTCGCTTGAATAGTAATCCATATAATGGAATAGTACTGAAAATAGTGAACTGTATAGTAATAGAGGATAGAATAGAAGTGCAGATCTGAATAGTAATAGGGGATAGAACAGAAATAATGATCCATATAGTATAGAGGATAGACTAGAAATGGAGATCAATTAGACACACACTACTTCCCATACATGCATTTCCTTTATGGCCATGTGGTCTACTTAATTCAATAATAGGATCGCTTGTGTTTGCTCACTAGTGATCTATGTTGGCAGCAACACTTTATTCCTATATAAACCTGACAAAAGATGGGCATTCTGCAGATCATAAAAGAATTTCAAGGGCAATAAGCAAGAAAATGTTTGACATTGGTGTTGCAAATGTCAACAAAGTGTCAAGGATGAAGAATATTAAGAATATTTGACTCAAGAAAAAACTACAACCTTTAAGTAGACATCAAAAGGAGAAATATATAAGTTAGACATAAAAACTGATTTCTCAAACAGTAATTTATGATGAATGTAGACCTATACCTAGGCTAGAATTTGGGGGCTTCATAAAAACAGACATTAATATTTTTAATTCGGATACATATTCTAAGTTGAAACTCACATGATAATTTGCTCTTATAAGTATCTTGAAGATTTTACCAACATCAGTTGGCCAACATGACTTACAATAGACTTCTCAAGAAATCTTACCTTCCTGGGTATGACAATAAACTACATCTGCATCCTGGGTAAGACGATAAACTACATCCAACAATAAAGCCTCTGATCAGGAGGTTTTGAGGAGCATGCAACCACCTCTTAACTGCTGGTGTTCCCAGGTCCACCCTGTTAGGGTCCCAGCTATGGGTAAATAGTTAACCCCCAAACTAGGGTCAAAACACTATGAAAGTGTAAAAATAGGTTTTAACACTAGAAATACTTTGTAAAAAATTATTACCAGCAATAAATTTTTTAAGAAAAATTATTACCAGCAATACATTTAAAAAAAAAAAATTAACTAGCAATAAAAATCTTGTCGGCATTAAATAACCCATTGAGGTTGATATGCCATAAAACAATACAAACCAAACCAAACCTCAAAAGATCTTCAACAAGATACTCTTAAAAATATTTTAAACATTTTTGATCAGATTTTAGGAATTTGGTCAGACTGAGAACTTTTCAGGTAGTAAAATCATAGCTCCCTTCAAAAGTTAATAATGGTATAGATAAAAGCAGAGAATTATTTTTAGTTTTTGTACTTCACTGTTTTTTTAGGATAATTCATGCAAAACAAAGCTCCCTCACATTTTGCAAAGACTACCTTGTTAAAAATGGCACCATATTAATAGAATAATCCCCACCACCATCACCACTTCTCCAGGTATTAATGCAATAGAAAACTTGTGGTACATCATTAAAAGAGATGCATCTGAGAATGGCAAATAATACTTAAGATCTCTGGGAAGAGATACAAAATACCGCAAGGTGAAAAAGTATAACGTGTAACAAAATCAATGAATAAAAGACTAATTAAGATAACTAAATGTCAAGGAATCTATATTAATATGTAAAATAATTCAGGTATAGGAGATATTGTATTAATTGAATGTGTTTCTTTAGCCTCCATCTTTCAGATTTATGGTTTCAGATTTCTTTTATCCAAGCGAACAATTGATGCTACCGATGTTCCTTAAAAGGGAGGACAAAGAAGTTTTCTGATATTGTTTCCCTAATTTTATTTTGTTTTAATTTTTATTTATTTAAGTGTATTCATTTATAAATAGGTTAACTGTATATTTTGGCCTAGCATCATCTTTTGCTCACCAAAATTTGAACTTATTTGTACATATATATCTTGCTATATTTCTTGTACATTGTCTTTTTTCACATGCAAATAAGTTCAAATAATATTAATTCCTTACTCAATTTTATTTTGATAGAGGATATTTGAATTTAATACTAAATTAAAACTTAATAGATAATATCATACTGTCAGTTTCATAACTAACTATACCCTAACACACATATCAGGAGCTAAACCTCCATAATTTTATTTACTATTTATTTACTTTTTCATACTTCAGATAGTGCTGCTGGTTCCTTCTACCATCTCAGTCGATATTTTATTCACTATTTACTTTTATTTTTTCTCTTCTCCCTACTCCAATAGGAGTAAATAGTTTGCCTATCATCTGATTCTCACTCACTTCTGATTCATATCTAAAGTCTCTGACTGAACTCTGAATTTTTATTCACTAATTATTTATCTTATTTTTTTTTCTCTCCACTTCAATAGGAGTAGATAAGCTTGCCTATTGTCCAGTTCACACTCCTCCCTGCTCTTTTAAACAGGAGCAGAGGTGTATCCCTTGTTCTTTGTTTAGGATTAGGTTTCCAGTTTCTTCTAAGGCCTACTTCATCTCTATACTCCTAATGTCTCTGCCTGAATTATTTTTCACTAATTATTTTTCTCCTCCCCATAGGAGCAGATAGGTTCACCTATCACCTGATTTTTTGAACAGGAGTAGAGGTTTGTCCCTTCTTTCCTGTTTAGGATTGGGTTTCCAGTTACTTCAACTATGTACTTCAGATATCTCCACCTGAAATCTGAAATTTTATTCAGTAATATTTTTTCCTCTGCCAATAGTAGATAGGTTTTCCCATTGTCTGGTTCACACACCTCCCCAGCCTTTTGAACAGGAGTAGATGTTCAACTCATGTTCCCTGTTTAATACTGGGTTTCTGTTTCCTTCTAAAGTCTACTTGAAGTCTATACTTCTAATTTCTCTGCTTGAATGCTGAAATTTTATTCGCTAATTAAATCTTGACCTCTTCAAGTCTAGAATTAGCTGTCTCTCTTTCCTGTTATCTTTTCATTTTTTACACTAATACAACTCCAGACAGTAACCCTCTACCTTGTGTGGCTCTTGAACTTTGTATTGGATGAACATTAGTTTAAAAAAAAAAATAGCACCATGTTTGTATACTAAAACTTTACCATTCTTAAACTAAATAAACTAAATTTAATTAGGATATATATTGTAAGCTGAAACTCAACTTGCTCTTATGTTTTTTTTTTTTTTTTTTTTTTTGTTTTTTACAGTAAAGTTCACCCTGTACAAGACCCGGGGGCCACTTGAAGTAGATGGTTATGTTAAGTGGGTGGTTCTTATGGATAGGAGGGGAAGATAACTGTTAACTCTAGACTTGAACAGGTTAAGATTGTAGTGACCGAGTGCAGTGGTTCGTGGTTTGTGTATTCTTGTCCTAAGTATTATCGTTCATTACCAACCTTCGTTTGATTATTCTATTCAGTAACCATCCCTAGGTTACAAGTTATACATTGTTTGACTCTCTCCCTCTTGCCTTCACTCTGCCTTGTGAGTATCAAATTTTCCAAGCTCTCTTTCATCATTATGTACCCTAGAAATTTCAAGTCTATTCCTGATGATAAGTCTAAGTTTTCATTTTTGTTTCCATTTTCGCTAAAACATTGCCATTACTCACATGTTTGGTCCATGGCAGAAGTAACTTGAATACATCACTTTGGATTTGCCAATAACATAAGGGTTAGCAACTGGGACAGAGAAATTGGCAAAATGAGATTCAATTTCAACTAAGTGTGTTACATTCATTTTCACACAATTAGTCTCAGAAAAAGTATAAATTTACAAATACTTCCCACTCTACACCTGCTTTTGGTTAAATAGCAAGGATTACTGGTCTCTTGGGGTGGCAACCAGTCTCGTAGAAGGAAAACTCTGGAAATTCAAAAAAGCAACCTGCAGAGGGATTGGCTCTGTCAGGCTATCTTGTCCTAGATACACCAATGCTGCTATAGATGCAGTATATGTTGTGAATCTTCTTGTATGACACAAGCTATTGGCTGAATACAATTCTGGTACATGACCAAATTTACAGAAAAAAAAACAAAAAACAAGTGTTGAATATTAAGACATCAGAAAAGCTAAAGTCAAAATTCTTTGATGATTGGAAAATATTTGAAATGCTGCTACGTTTTCTGTGGCGTTGAATTGTAAAGTTATGTGCAGCATAAAAAGATTAAGTGATTTTGAAATGTTTGAGAAGATTACTGATTGTAATATCTTGTGTGGATCAGAGATAAGACTGACAACCTCAAGTTATCGATTATCTAATTATGTATTAAACCCTAGGTAGATAAGTATGTTCTTAGTACAGTTCAAGTTAAAGGTCAATAACTCTTTCTTTTTGTACTGACATTTTCACATTATTAATCAATGAATAGCTGAATTAGTTTCAATTTTTAGGGATGAGAAAAAAAAGTTTTAATCTAGAATTAGAAGCAAGAGCTGTTCAGATAAAAATTGTGTATTTTGAATACATTGGATCAAATGCAATCACTATTTAGTTTCAACATTTAACCTTAGAACAGTGTTGCAAATCTGGATGAATTACCATTTTTATGGTTCTTGATATTATTTGTCCTACAAACATTTTTACAGATTCACGTGAATTCAGGTAAATAAAGAACAGTAGTCATGGATTTTAAACAAATAATCAATAAATGTATTACTGTGTTTACAGAAGTGAAAGAAAAAAAGTTCAATGTATGAAGTTGTTGAAGGTTTAACAATTTTTCAGTTGATGTCTCTAAAGTACTTATATGCTGCATGTGTTGCAGGAGGTAGAAAAGGGCAGGTGGGGTTGCAGGAGGTAGAAAACGGCAGGTGTTGCCAGAGGTAGAAAATGGAAGGTGTTGCCAGAGGTAGAAAATGGAAGGTGTTGCTAGAGGTAGAAAAGAGAAGGTGTTGCCAGAGGTAGAAAATGAAAGGTGTTGCAGGAGGTAGAAAATGGAAAGTGTTGCCAGAGGTAGAAAAGGGAAGGTGTTGCCAGAGGTAGAAAATGAAAGGTGTTGCAGGAGGTAGAAAATGGAAGGTGATGCCAGAGGTAGAAAAGGGAAGGTGATGCCAGAGGTAGAAAAGGGAAGGTGTTGCCAGAAATAGAAAATGGAAGGTGTTACCAGAGGCAGAAAATGGAAGGTGTTGCTAGAGGTAGAAAAGAGAAGGTGTTGCCAGAGGTAGAAAATGGAAAGTGTTGCAGGAGGTAGAAAATGGAAGGTGTTGCCAGAGGTAGAAAAGGGAAGGTGCTGCCAGAGGTAGAAAATGGAAGGTGTTGCAGGAGGTAGAAATGGGAAGGTGTTGCCGGAAGTAGAAAAGGGAAGGTGTTGCAGGAGGTAGAAAATGGAAGGTGTTGCCGGAGGTAGAAAAGGGAAGGTGTTGCCAGAGGTAGAAAAGGGAAGGTGTTGCCAGAGGTAGAAAAGGGAAGGTGTTGCCAGAGGTAGAAAAGGAAAGGTGTTGCCAGAGGTAGAAAAGGAAAGGTGTTGCCAGAGGTAGAAAAGGGAAGGTGTTGCCAGAGGTAGAAAAGGGAAGACGTTGCCAGAGGTAGAAAAGGGAAGACGTTGCCAGAGGTAGAAAAGGGAAGACGTTGCCAGAGGTAGAAAAGGGAAGGTGTTGCCAGAGGTAGAAAAGGGAAGGTGTTGCTGGAGGTAGAAAAGGAAAGGTGTTGCCGGAGATAGAAAAGGGAAGGTGTTGCCGGAGATAGAAAAGGGAAGGTGTTGCCAGAGGTTGAAAAGGGAACGTGTTGCAGGAGGTAGAAAATGGAAAGTGTTGCCGGAGGTAGCAAAGGGAAGGTGTTGCCAGAGGTAGCAAAGGGAAGGTGTTGCTGGAGGTAGAAAAGGGAAGGTGTTGCCGGAGATAGAAAAGGAAAGGTGTTGCCGGAGATAGAAAAGGAAAGGTGTTGCCGGAGATAGAAAAGGGAAGGTGTTGCCGGAGGTAGAAAATGGAAGACGTTGCCAGAGGGAGAAAAGGGAAAGTGGTGCCAGAGGTAGAAAATGGAAGGTGTTGCCAGAGGTAGAAAATGGAAGGTGTTGCCGGAGATAGAAAAGGGAACGTGTTGCTGGAGATAGAAAAGGGAAGGTGTTGCAGGAGGTAGAAAAGGGAATGTGTTGCAGGAGGTAGAAAATGGAAAGTGTTGCCAGAGGTAGAAAAGGGAAGGTGTTGCCACAGGTAGAAAAGGGAAGGTGTTGCAGGAGGTAGAAAATGGAAGGTGTTGCCAGAGATAGAAAAGGGAAGGTGTTGCCAGAGGTAGAAAAGGGAAGTTGTTGCCAGAGGTAGAAAAAGGCATGTGTTGTCAATCTCAGAGTTAATGTGGAAAGAGAGAAAGTCTTTCAAAAATTGTGCCACTTGTAATTTTAGTCAGGGGTGATAATCCTACAATAGTACTCCTGGGTCTAACAGTCTACTGAGTACATCATTGCTAATGGTTTTATTTTAGAATTTCAATAAAATCAACTGGGTCAATTAACTTTAAGTTTCTTTGCTAGCTAATGGGACCAAAACATATTGTACAATGTGAAAAGGTTTTGTAGTAACTTGAAGCAAATGTACCAAATCTGGTTCAGCATAAATTCAAATCTAATAAACAATTATTTTAGAGTCAATAAGAAATACTTCTTTCAATCTAAAAATCACTATTCAGATGTTACAAGATTCAACCAACATCTGGATAAGTTGCTCTATAAGTTGAGAGAAATACCTTAAATTCACTGACCAATTGAAATGCTCTATTTTAACTCACAAACAGTTAGTTCAAACTTACCACCCACTTATATAAGGAAACATATCTATCATTTTAAGCAAAGTTGATTGATTTATATTTTTACAGCGTATCAAACTTTGCAGATTATTTAAAGCCAGAAAATATTTTTAGATTGTAAAAATTCTTTTGAGATAATGATTTACTGAAACAAACTCTACTGCTTTAACCCATAGCTGGGGAGAGAAGAGGTGGATTCATACCTTTCCCAGGTGTATATGCACATAAATGAATATAACAAACCTAATTGAAATTGGAACTCGACTCTCCAATTTCCAATTGCCAGTCATTATCCATTACACTACCCATACATCCAAGCACACCTGATATTCCCAAGTTGTCACCCATCTAGGGGTTGACTAGGGTCAACATTGCTTAACTTCAATGATCAGATAAGAATTGGTGCTTCAAAATGATATGTCCATAAGCATAATCACTACCAAAAACATTTATTTCTGCAATACACACTGAACATACAAGCTACGTTGCCAGTGAGAGAACTGTTCAACTTTGTAACCTATTTATATATATATATATAACTCACAGCAACTGACTGTAAATTCTTTTTCACAGAAGTATACATTTCATTTCACACTTTCTTCAAAGACAAACTTAAATGATTTTCTATTATTTGTTAGAATAATTATTGCTACTTTATTTGAAATAACTTTGTCTTCTTGTTCTTGATTGTTTGAAATTAATTTCATCTTTTGGTTTAACTTCTTTGACAAGGTGACATTTTTGTTTGAAGATAATTTATTTGGATTCAGATATAAATAATTGTCAACTGTTTCATGAAAATATTTTTCTCCAGAATTTTTAGATTTCAGTATTGTAGAGGCATAAGCAAATCTGTCACAGAAGAAATGTACTCTTCTCAGGTTAACGAAAAATCAAAATTATTGTCCAATCATTTTAACTTTAGGTTTAAAACAATTATTGCTTTCTACCAGAGCCAGATTACAATTATTGTAATTGACTAATTTAAAGAATTTACAAACATATTTCAATATATTATGGCAAGTGCAGGCAGGTGGCACATTTGCATTGTGAGGACCACTGCACAGTTGATACGTTTGTACACTAAGGATAACAGCATAGCAAACATATGTTGGTGGTGCATTTGCATAATACAGATAGGTAATTTTTATTGAACTTTTATGAATTTAATCTGAGAAAATCTGATAATTTTACTTGAGGATTGAATGACTTAATAATTACAACAATGAGAACAATAATCATAAAAAATAAGGAGATTTACAAATTAATTGGCATTTCTACAGGGAAATCAAAATTCATTCGACCTGTCTTTTGATTGTCAAAGAAACATGCATATCCTTTCTTTTTACCAATTTGTGAAACATCATGTCCATCAATTTCTTTCCTCAATTGGTCTAACTAGAAGCAGTACTTGTTAAAATTAATTGTTTGGTTCTACAGAAGAAGCTCATCAGAGGAAACATTCTTTTAAGTTGGTTTAAATAAGTTTTAGGGTTGAAGTTGAATATTCCCAATCTGTTAGCTATTTTTTATATTGTTTACTGTTGATTATTCTCAAGTAATATCTTCATTTTATCATTATCAATCTCAGCTGCTTTAATTGACTGTGTGGATCATTGTGTAACTTTACAATTTCCATCTAACATATATCTAACACAATTACCTTCTGACACATGTCTAGCATATTATTCTATGTGCCATGTCCCTTCAGAACAGGGGGTGGTTATTTTGTACAGTCTCATTACAGAGATTAGTTGCTGTTTCCCTCTACCCTTCTTGCCTTCAATGTCCAATTTTCCAAGCATTCTTTACTCTGTGTCCTACAAATTTCAACTATCTGATTGCAAGTATAAGCATCCTTTTTGTTTCCATTCTCCACATTGCTAACATGCTTTGTCCATGTTATTCTCAGCATCCTTCTATAGAACTACATTTCTTTAAACTCTAATCTTTTCTTCAACTGTGAGGAAATTGTTCAGCATTCACTGTCATATAGAAGAACTGGGCATCTCAACATGGTGTAATCATAAGCAAGCTTATCTTGCTAGAATACTTATCTCTAAGCCTTTTGCCACATCTAAGATATGCTTAGAAAATCACCATATTCTTGGGCACCTCAATGTGGTGCAATGGCTAGCAAGCTTGTCTAGCAAAAACAATTAAGACTGAATAGTGAATTTGATCCTCACTGGGTGTCCTATATTTTTGACCTTGTGCCACATCTAAGTTATGTTTAGAAAATCACCATATTCTCAAGGACCTCGATGTGGTGCAATGACTAGCAAGCTTGTGTAGCAAGAAAAATTAGGATTGAATAGCAAATTCGACCCTCACTGAGTGCTCCATATTTTTATCCTTGTGCCACAAGTGACATACTGAAAACGTTACTTATTTTTTTCCATCTAGTTGAAATCAGTAAATAAAAATATTGAAATTCTGACAAACTTATTTTCATTTTTATTTATTGCAGGATATTTCACCATTTTCTTCATTAAAAACCTGGCATAATTCTTGACAAACATCTACAGCTTTTCATGTCTAAGTCTTTATAATAGTTTTAAAGTGGTTATTTATAACATTGGAGAATTTTTCATGAGTGCAAAAAGAAAAGGATGAAATCGAAGACTCTCTGCTTTTTATTAAATAAGACTCATCAATGTGGTATCAAGTAAATACTTAAGGAAATATGACATTTCTCTTGACCTTTCAGCCTATTCATTGACATTATCCCTCTATGATAGAAGTGTCTATTTAATCTGTTCTACAGATTTTATTGGAAATTTGATTAAGAATAGTTACAGGCTCAAGATATGCATAAAGCACATGTTCAGTTTGAAAAAAAAGGTGTGGTTTTTATTGTATACAATTGACAGATAATTCCTCTAAATTGAATTTTTTCTAATTTCTGCTTTTTTAGCATGTATGTTAAAAACCTTATGAAACTAATTTTTTAGTTTGGAACTACAATTATGATGAATATTTAAATATCCATACATTTTTTTAACATGTTTTAACAAACAAACAAAAAAAAAAAATATGAAGCATGTCAAAATTATCTATCTATTTGCTAATACATTAAAAGGATATTTTTATGAGATCAAAAAATTGGTTAGTGCTTAAAATCTTAATTTTTTAAAATCATATTCTGAATAATTTGATTTATGGAATCATTGCTTGCTTGCTTGCTCTCTATGACAACTACTTAATCTATTAGGGAAAAACTTACCGGGTACAGTATATATATCTACAATTCAAAATGGTCACCCTTGGCTTTCACCTTAGTCTTTAATCTCTTCTCAGCTGAAGTGCACAACTTCTTCATCACCTCTTTGTTTAAATTGTACTATAATGTCATAAGAGCTTCTTACAAGTCTGAAACACACTTGAGTATAAGATAAATGAAACATCACTCTCCAACATGGGTTTTATTGAAAAGTCCATAGGATTAATGTCAAGGCTTGATGTAAGCCAAGTAGATGTCTTGTCCACCAGTTCTGCATAAAATCAGTTATGTGTACAGGTGCTCCATCTTGAGTGAAGACATAGCAACTTCCAACTGTGGTTGGCAACAAGGGCAACACATTTGCTGGTAAATTGCTGCTATTCACTTTCAAGGGAGATTTTGAACCATCAGAAGTAACAGGAGCCCAAACCATAATACCACTTGATCTTTGTCATTTTGTCACTTGAAATGTATTCTGAAACCTTCAGGACTGTTTGCTGGTAAAGTAGTGTAAACCCTATCATTTTGGTAATTGACCACAGCCTCAACAGTGAAAAATTTCTCATTTAACCAAACAAAAGCATACTGCATCTCCTCCAACATATTCTGCCCTCTGCCAAGCCGTTTTTGCTTGGAGGAACTTAAGAGCAGCTGTCAACACTGAATCTTGTATGGTTTTAACCCTAAAGGTTTGTGATGAACAGTTAAATAGAAGCAAGTGAACATCTGGTGCAAAGGAAAATAAGTATCTTACCTCAACATGCAGCATGTCACATCAGCATTTTGCTCCTTGAAAATGCCATTACTCTCCCATCTAACAGTTCTAGCAGTATGTGCTGCAAAGGGGCTTTTTGTACAGTTTGGCATGGTCCGACCAATAGCAAGTCATGTGCTGATTGGTTGGACTGGAGGAGGCTATTTGCCTGTGTAACTGAGAACAAAAGCAAAGAATGCTGATTGGTTGGTTGGTTGGCCACAGTGTTGACCTGATAAAATAGGGCTGAAGCAGTGAGAAGACAGAACAGTTTTACGTTGGTGAAGTGTGCAGAACGTAAGAACAGCGGATTGAACAAATGGTATCTTGTATTGTACGAATGACATCCAAGGGATAGAGACTCATTTAGCTATAAGGTTCTTTCACAATTTTCTTTAGCAACCTATCCAAAATAACCAGCTCTTTTGTCATCTTTCTTTTGCTTCATCATGGATTTCTCTTCATCCTCTTTTTGACACCAACAATGTTGGTATAAACAGAATTGTTTCTTTCTGGATTTTGATTTGGTGAGCTTGTTTGCTCCTCTTGAAA